ATGGGCATTATTTAGCTTCGGCCCATTTTCCCTCCGCCCCCTAATGAAGTTTTGATTCCCTTCTATCACCATCAGCTGCCATTTCCCTCATGCTCCGAAGAGCTCAGTGAAGAAGGCGTCAGAGTTTCGCCAGACTGGTTGGCTTTGATCTGCAATCTGGCGGTGCCTGGCAAGCTTGGTGGGGCTGCTTTGACTTTGATCTTGTTTTGTTGGGTTTTTTTTAATTCTTGATGAGGAGCTGGCTTGCAGGAACACATCAGTAAGGGGAGCTGTCAGAAGGAACGGCTTTGCAGCACCAGACTGCTTGTAGGTGGCGGGTAGTGAGGATGCGGTTCAGACTCCACCCAAGCGTGTCATGTTCACGCAGGCGGCACCCCACGACCTGTCCGCCCCCACAGTCCTACTGCGGGCCAGGTGTTGTTTCCAAGAGAGCAAGGACTTGATCTGTAGACTGGGGGCATCGAGACCTCGGTACTTCCCTTCCCTGCTGTGACTTTATATTATTAATAGTTACGAAAAGGCTCAGCTGTGAACACCTGAGACCTAGATAACAGGGGTTTAACCAAGGGAAAGGTTGATGTCTCTCTTATGTAACAATCCAGAGGGAAAGTGCTCACGCCTGGGAGGGCACCTCTGCTGCCAGACATCCCCAGGGCCTGAGCATCCCTCCAGCTTGTGGCTGCCCTGTGTACGGTGTCCATGGCCCAAGGCTCTCATTGTCCAAGAGGGCTGGAGAATAGCTGCATTCCAGCCAACAGGAAGGAGCAAGGACAAAAGCCGACAGACCCACTTTCTTGGAGGGCTCTTCCAGGAGTTAGTTTCCCCTGTCTCTTCCATTCACATCCCAATTTTCTGGTGCTTAGTCACGTGGCTGCTCCTACCTGCAAGAGAGACTGGGAAGTACAGTCTTTATTCCCAGTAGCCGTGTGCTCGGCTGCAAGATTTGCGAGCTCTATTACCAAGAGAGAAAGGGCAGTGGTCGCTGGGGGAGAACCAGCAGGTTGTTTGGGAAAGAGCAGTGATGCTGTGGAGAACATTGCCGCACGCATCAGAGGACCCACATTTGCCTTCCAGTCTGCCCTATCACTTCCCTGGGTCTCAGTTTCCTCACCTGTAAAAGGGGGATGATGGGAATGACCTCACAGTGTGTGAAGGTTAAATGATATATTGTATTGGAAGATACTTTTTCAGGTTCTCAAAACATCTGTGAACACTCTGGGACATGCTGTGGAAATTCATTTCTGACGCTGATAATGTGTGTATCAAATCTGTAGGGGCTGCATATGAAAAAGCCTGTACTTGCCTCTGGGCTTGCTCTTGCCGGGCCTGGCAGCCTGGGCTTTGTAGCTTCCCTGTGGCTATTTGGCAAGAGAAATTAGGGGTCAGATGCCCAGGACCCCATTAGTGCTGGTTATGGTGTCAGGAAGTCCAGATGTGGTACAGTGAGGCGTTCTAAAGTGTGATGTGGGTACAGCTGATACACATGACGACTTTAGATGGAACCTTTAAAACATTTTAAAATAAACACAAGTTTGTTTTAAAATATATCATCAGGAAACCAGATATGAAAGAGACACGTGCACCCCAATGTTCATCGCAGCACTGTTTATAATAGCCAGGACATGGAAGCAACCTACATGCCCATCAGCAGACGAATGGATGAGGAAGCTGTGGTACATATACACCATGGAATATTACTCAGCCATTAAAAAGAATTCATTTGAATCAGTTCTAATGAGATGGATGAAACTGGAGCCCATTATACAGAGCGAAGTAAGCCAGAAAGATAAAGACCATTACAGTATACTAACACATATATATGGAATTTAGAAAGATGGTAACGATAACCCTATGTGCAAAACAGAAAAAGAGACTCCTATGTATAGAACAGACTTGTGGACTCTGGGAGAAGGGGAGGGTGGGATGTTTCAAGAGAACAGCATCGAAACACGTATATTATCTAGGGTGAAACAGATCACCAGCCCAGGTTGGGTGCATGAGACAAATGCTCGGGCCTGGTGCACTGGGAAGACCCAGAGGGATTGGGTGGAGAGGGAGGTGGGAGGGGGGACCGGGATGGGGAATACATGTAAATCCATGGCTAATTCATTTCAATGTATGACAAAAACCACTACAATGATGTAAAGTAATTAGCCTCCAACTAATAAAAATAAATGAAAAAAAATATATATCATCAGGAACAAAGGAGAACTTAACCACCAAACCTGGGACTTGTATGGACATTATTTATTGTTTAGGACCGAGTTTTAATCAAGTGAGTTTACTTAAAAGAAAAAAAAAACAACCTGAGTAAATAGTTTAATTTGTATAATACTTGGCTTTGGCAGAAACTCAGATGAGAATTACAGCTCCAGCCACACCTTGATTTTAGCCCGGGGAGACGCTGATTAGGGGACCCAGTTAATCCTCTCCTGGACTCCAGACGTGTGGATGGAAACTGTGAGATAATAAATTTGGGGTGTTTTAAGCCATTACGTTTGTGATAATTAGTTATGCATGCGTGCATGCTGTCTCTTCAGTCATGTCTGACTCTTTGCAGCCCTATGAGTTGTAGCCCACGAGGCCCCTCTGTCCATGGGATTCTGGACACAAGAATACTGGAGTGGGTTGCTATGCCCTTCTCCAGGGGATCTTCCCGACCCAGGGATCGAACCCGTGTCTCTTACATCTCCTGCATTGGCAGGTGGGTTCTTTACCACTGTGCCACCTGGTAAGCCCCAAAGCAGGGATAAGAAATTAATACACAGGGTTAGAGATTTATATTTAAGGAATGTCATCAAACTGGGCAAGTTTCTTATTTCAAACTGTTCCATTGTTTGTAGCATGGTGGCAGAAATAGAGACTTGTGGGGTTTCTGGAAGAACAAGTGAGGAACTAAATATAAGTTCCTACCTAATGTGAGGGAAATATTAATCTTAAGAGCTGTTGACTAGAACACCGGCTGTAGAATCAGTCCCCACAAGGACCACATTTGCCCAGTTTCATGACCCCAGGGGGCTTCCCAGGTGGCTCAGTGGTAAAGAATTTGCCTGCCAATGCAGGAGATACAGGAGATGCTGGTTGGGAAGATCCCCTGGAGTAGGAAATGGCAACCCACTCCAGTATTCTTACCTGGGAAACCTCAAGGACAGAGGAGACTGACGGGCTACAGCCTGTGGAGTCACAAAGCGTGGGACAGGACTCAGTGACTGAGCACGCATGCATGATGACCCCGGGGATAGGCCAACCTTGGCAAACTTCACTTAGGGGACGAAGCCTCCGTTGAGTTTCCCGATGATCTTTCTACAGGGCCTGTGGGAGAAGTGCTTTGCCCAGAAGCTGTAAGAGACAGCAGCAACTCACTGGATCTCAGATCGAAGTCTTCAACATGCACTGAAAATAATTTCTTAATGAGATAAGAATGCCAGTGAGGAAGTATCTTCATCTGATTTGTTTTGCTAATTAGGAAGACTTAATTGATATTCTAAGGCAACTTCATTGTGGATAAGAAATTGCCTGGGCCTCTAGTTGAAAAAAATTCCCAGATCGTCAAGTCCCACACCCAGAGTTGGTTCTGGAAGTCTTAAGCAGTCTCCAGCTGTCTGCGTATTTATCAAGCCCCCAGGGGCTTCACTGGTGGCTCAGTCAGTAAAGAATCTGCCTATAATACAGGAGACACAGGGTCCACCCCTGGGTCAGGAAGATCGCCGGGAAAAGGAAACAGCAGCCCACTCCAGTATTCTTGCCTGGGAAATCCCACAGAGAGAGGAGCCTGGCGGGGCTACAGTCCATGGAATTAAAAAGGCTTGGACACGACTGAGCGACTAAACCATCACCAGGGGATTGCGATGCATGCAGGTATTTGAGGGCTGCAGGTGCCCTCGCAAATGTTTAACAGCCAGTTTTCTGGGAAAGAAAAGCTTGATTTGTAACATTAGTGGACTTCAGACACGTAAACAGTCCTGTTGCTGCTGCTTGGTCACGTCCAGCTCTTTGCGACCCCATGGACTGCAGCACGTCAGGCCTCCCTGTCCTTCACTATCTTCTGGAGTTTGCTCAGACTCATGCCCATTGAGTCAGTGATGCCGTCCAACCATCTCATCCTCTGTCATCCCCTTCTCCTCCTGCCTTCAATCTTTCCCAGCATCAAAGTCTCTTCCAATGAGTCAGCTCTTCACATCAGTTGGCCAAAAGATCGGAGCTTCAGCTTCAGCACCAGTCCTTCCAATGAATATTCAGGGTTGATTTCCTTCAGAATTGGCTGGTTTGATCTCTTTGCAGTCCAAGGGACTCTCAAGAGTCTTCTCCAGCACCGCAGTTTGAAAGCATCAATTCTTCAATGCTCAGTCTTCTTTATGGTCCAACTCACATCCATACATGACTAGTGGAAAAACCATAGCTTGGACCAGACGGACCTTTGTTGGCGAAGTAATGTCTCTGCTTTTACAATGAAGTTTAGGTAACACCAGTGCAGGATTCAGGGATTCCCAGGTATACGGGCTGTGAGTGTCATGGATCTGCTCTAAAATGTGGACTGCGGGGTTCACCACCAGGGGTCTCCACTTCGTGGGGCTGGGGCTCCAGGGACCCCTGTTGGGGTGAGAGGACCTCCCGGAATGATCCCGATGTACTTCCAGGTCTGGGAATGTGCTGGAGATGATTCACTTCAAATACAGGATGAGAAGGAAAATCTAACCAGAGGGAGAGAAATCCTTCAATCTGACCTAGTAAATGGTTGTGGTTCAGTTGCTAAGTCGTGTCTGGCTCTTGTGACCCCATGGGCCATAGGTAGCCCGCCAGGCTCCTCCGTCCACGGGATTCTTCAGGCAAGCATCCTGGAGTGGGTTGCCGTTTCCTTCTCCAGGGGGTCTTCCCGACAAACAGGGATCGAACTCTGGTCTCCTGCATTGCAGGCAGATTCTTTACCGACTGAGCATCAGGGAAGCTTGCCTAGTGAATGTACAAAGTGAGATCAGACCGGACCCCGCGGAGAACACGGAATGATGGAGGAGGTGCCGTTAACGAGGTCGTGGTCCTGGCACACACAGGCCGCTCCACCCCTGTCCGCGCCTCTCCTGCGGATCCGCGCCGCCTGGGAAGGGCGTGGGCTCTGGGTAAGAGGGTCAGTCACCCACGAGGAAGCATCACTCCCTCCCCTCTCTGCTCCTCAGCTGGGTCTCTCGTGACAGTGCGGCGGAGGATAACCCCGCCCCTCACAGGAAAACGAGGCGTGTGTAGAGGAGCCCAGCAGACGGCAGCTCCCAGCGGCGGCGACCGATGCAGACCGCGTGCGTGTGCGGGCTCGTGCGCATGTGTGTGCGGCGCGTGGGCCTCAGGAGGCGCGCGCAGGAGGACTGGTCTCAAGGCAGCGGCGGCAAGCACGCTGGCCAACTCCGGAGCTTGATGCTGAGTTTGCGGGAGAACGAGCATGCCAGAGGAAGGGGAAAGGAGGCTGGCTAGTTAGGTGCATTACAAAATAGTGCTGCTCTGGGGCGTGGGCGGGGGGGGGGGGGGTGAGATTAGAAGGGCCGACGCCTCAGTTTGCAGAGGACAGAACGCTCACACCGCACATTGTACCTCAGTGCAGGCTGAGAGGGTGAGGGAGTGGAGGCAACTGGAGCCCGTTTGCACCCGGGAGGGAAAAGATAACATCCAGTGGGGAGACTGGGCATGGGCTCTTCTTCGCCTCAGTCTTTTCAGGGGAGGTAAGCCACAGACAGGTGCTGGAGCACTTCCCAGCCAGGAAGACAACTGATAATGGGGGTCATGACACTCCAGCCTCTTCCCCAGGTTCCTCAGTGAACTTGGCAGATATCACCGTCCAGCTTCCAGTTATGACTTTAAAAAAAATGCACCAGGAACCATCCCTGCCACAAAGCAGTTTGCAGAGGGAATGTCTGAGATCGGAGCAGGGCAAAAGCTGGGGGCTCGGAATTTAGAGAAGGGGGCGGTCTGGGTAGCAGCTGACCAGAAGGTGTCCTAAGTCCTGGAGCACTGGAAGGAACTCTGCCTACAGGGATTGCCAGGGAACGGCAACGGTGGTGAAAGAGCCTCTTGTAGAGACGATCCTCTCTTGTAGAAAAGATTCCGCCTCGCGTGGATTGGTGCCCAGGCAGTAGCAGTGGAGCTCGGATAAAGGTGGTCCGTCTCAGAGATCCTTAAGAGCAAAGGTTCGCCTCCCTGTGCCAGCTACACCCTGACACAGCGCTTTGTTGCTTTTCTACATAATCTGCAGGATCCAGTGTGAAATAAAAAGCGTAAGGCCTTGGTTCAAAAAGCAGGGGGGAAAGTGGCATCAAAGACACTAAAATATAAAGCTCATCCCTTTTTCACCCTGTGATCTCTCTCAACTTGTCATCGTGTTTTGTACTTGCTATTGAATGTCATTCTAAGCAAAGCAAACTTTAAATTAGCACGAGTTTTATGGTTCATCTTTATATCGTGCAATGCCTGCTTAGAATGCAAATATAAACATTTAGCTCATCTGTGGAATCTCTGAAATGATGCGATTTGTATTTTATAGTGTTTGCAGGAATAGATATTTCATTCTTGCCAGAAAAGTGGACAAAACTAACTCAACTGCTTTTATTTCAATTCTGGATATGTGCACATGCTCCTGCTCTACTTTCTTTTTTCTTTTTTTTAAAAAAAACTGGTAAGTAGGGAAGAACTGAAAGGAGAAAACCTAATGGTTTGTTCTATTTTTTGCTTTCTTTCTGAGGCATCATTTTCAGTCAACAGTTGGCTAGTATGTGACTTACCATGTTCGTTAAGAAAGAATGTTATATGATTTCTTGGTGCTAATGTTTCTTAGAACGTCATGGTCTTCTTTCTGTGTTTGAAACTGGTCCCCTGCACCAAACCCCACCTTCTCTGGGGTATAATTGACAAATAAAACATTTAGGGAATTTCCTGGCGGTCCAGTGATTAAGAAGGCATTCTCACTGCAGAGCATCCAGGTTTAATCCCTGGTCAGGGAACTAAAATCTTACAAGCTGTGTGGCACAGCCAAAAGAACCCCCAAAAGCAAAACAAAAGATTATTTTTTCATGGCTCAGTTGGTAAAGAATTTGCCTGTAATGCAGGAGACCCCATTTCAATCCTGGGTCAGAAAGATCCACTGGAGAAGGGATAGGCTACCCACTCCAGTATTCGGACCTGGAGAATCCCATGGATTATAGAGAAATATCAATAACCTCAGATATGCAGATGACACCCACCACCCTTATGGCAGAAAGTGACGAACTAAAGAGCCTCTTGATGGTAGTGATAGAGGATAGTGAAAAAGTTGGCTTAAAACTCAACATTCAGAAAACTAAGATCATGGCATCCGGTCTCATCACTTCATGGCAAATAGATGGGGAAACGATGGAAACAGTGACAGACTTTATTTTGGGGGGCTCCAAAATCACTGCAGATGGTGACTGCAGCCGTGAAATTTAATGACGCTTGCTCCTTGGAAGAAAAGTTATGACCAACCTAGGTAGCATATTAAAAAGCAGAGACATTACTTTGCCAACAAAGGTCCATCCATCCAGTCCAAACTATGGTTTTTCCAGTAGTCATGTATGGATGTGAGTGTTGGACCATAAAGAAAGCTGAGTGCCAAAGAATTGATGCTTTTGAACTGTGGTGTTAGAGAAGACTCTTGAGAGTCCCTTGGACAGCAAGGAGATCCAACCAGTGCATCCTAAAGGAAATCAGTCCTGAATATTTATTGGAAAGACTGATGCTGAAGCTGAAAATCTAATACTTTGGCTACCTGATGCGAAGAACCGACTCATTTGAAAAACCCTGATGCTGGGAAAGATGGAAGGCAGGAGGAGAAGGGGACAACAGAGGATGAGATGGTTGGATGACATCACCGACTCAATGGACATGGGTTTGGGTAAACTCCAGGAGTTGGTGATGGACAGGGAGGCTTGGCGTGCTGCAGTCCATGGGGTCACAAAGAGTTGGACATGACTGAGCAGCTTTCACTTTCACTTTCAATATACATTTAATTTTATTTACTCTTTTACCTCAGGGGCAGGCAGTTGGGGTAGTCATATTCCCTGTTTCACAGAATGTCATATTAACTATGTATTGCTGTGTAACAAATGACCACAAATTTAGCTTGTGTGTGTGTGTGCTAAGTCGCTTCAGTCACGTCTGACTCTTTGGGACCCTGTGGACTGTGGTCCACCATGCTCCTCTGTCATGGGATCCTCCAGGCAGTAATACTGGAGAGGGTTGCCATTCCTTTCTGCAGGGGATTCTCCTGCGTTGCAGGGGGGCTTCTTTACCACCAGTGCCACCTGGGAAGCCCTAACTCAGTGTGATTTCATGAGCCCAGTTTGTGTAGGGTCAGGAGTTAGGCATAACTTAACTGGGTTCTCTGCTCAGTGACTCACAAGGCTGGATTCCGAGTGTCAGCAGGATGCATGGCTTTCTTGGGCTTGGGACTCACTTCCAAATGCATGTGGCTGTTGGGCAGAATTTGGTTCCTTGCGGTAGCAGGACTGAGGTGCCCACTTCCTTGGTGTCAAGAGGCCATTATCAGTCCCTAGAGGCCTCTGTGGCTCCTTGCCAGGTCCTCTCATGACCTGCGGCAGGGCAGTCATAACACAGCAGCTTATGTCTTCAAGGCCAGCAGGAGAATTTCACTCTCATTTGCTGAGAGGGAATCTTATGTAACATGTCATCATCAGGGAGTCACCGTTGCATATTCTGTACTGTGTTCTGATTAGAGGAGATACTCGCCCATCACCTTTGTTGGTTTCTGTTGGCTGGAAACAAGTTACAGGTCTTGCTGGCACTCGAGGGGAGGGGATCACACAAAGGCAGGACTCACTGGGGCTACCTTAAAATTCTGCCCGCCACAAAGGCTGCCATCATTTACCATGCAAAGTGCCCCCCCCCCCCGCCTCTTTTTTTAAAATTTATGTTTCCTACCTCACTCCTGGTCCCACGCACATTCCCTGCTCACTGCCACCCCCATCCCTGGCATGGGTATCATGGATGTGATTTATGTACTTGGAGGCATGTATATATTGTAAAATATTTAGCATGGTTCTAGTGTGAATGTGTTTTTAATTTATAAACCTCATTCTGTTTCTTTCTTTTACACTCGACATTAGATTTCAAGATTTATTCTTAGTGCCATATGTAGTTCATTGCTTTAAATACATTTTCAAAGATGAAAGTGGGATCATACTATGTATATGGATTAATAGCTTGCTTTTCACTTTTAATATGTCTTTTAAATCCTTCCATGTCAGTTCATGTCGATTGTCCTTATTTACTTTAAACACTGCATAATTTTCCATTGAAAGGATTTATTTAATTCCTGCCTCCTCAGGCTGGAAGGGTGTTTTGAAGATTTTGGAAGGATTGAATTGAATGGGACAGAGGGACATTCCTACGGATTGGATGTTCCCATCCTGGGACTGGAGGTCCCGCTCTGCCTGGAATGCCGTGGTTGCCCACCTCTTCTTCTGTGCCCTCAGGCTCAGTTCCCCAGACTGTGGGGAAGCCAGAACTAGAACCAAATCTAGTCATCTAGTCAACCCGAAGCCCACCTGGGTTCCATCAAGAGCATCTCTCTCTGCCCCTGGATTTGAAAACAGACCCAATCTGATTGGCTCATGGATAGCCAATGGATTTTCTGGCTGTAGGTCAGGTGCCTGCCTTTAGTCCAATCAGAAGGAACTATTAACATGTTCAAAGCCCCCACTGGTGGGTTGGTTAATTCTCCCTAGCTGCCTTTATCCACTGCAGGCATTGGAGTTTGCAACCTGGCCTCTTATGTCAGAACTTCCCAAATCCACACAAATAAGGGGCCATGTCAACACGCAGACTCGGATTCTCTCTAAGGCACGGTCTTAGTGTGGTGACATGCAGTTAACAGCCACCGCGTCTGCTACAAACAAGGCCTCACCTGTGCGTTAGGATGTGCAATCTTCAGTGACCTTTGGAGAAGGCATTTGGATAGCCCAGTAAAGGTAATCTGATTTGTTTGCAGTTAGTAAGGAACTAGGCCTGGTGGGACTTCCCTGGTGGTCCAGTGGCTGAGGCTCTGCTCTCCCAGTGCAGGGGGCCCCAGGTTTGACCGCTGGTCAGGGAACTAGATCCCACATGCTGCAGCTAAGTGTTCACATGTGGCAACGAAAGACTGCACCTGCTGCAACTAAGACCTGGGGCGGCTAACTACATAAATAAACTAGACCTGGGTTTTGAGCAGGTCTGCCTGACTCCAGAGCGTGCAGTGTTACCTCTGAAGGGCTTGGGGAAGCCAGGTGTGAACTCTTCGGAAGCAGGAGAGACTGACCAGTTAGAGGCTGAGGAAGGGAGAGGGCCAGGACCAAATGCCTAGGACGGCTCCGAGGGCTGGCTGACACGATGCCTACCCAAAAAAGCCATGCAATAAACCAACCCGTGTCAAAAAAGGCTGGCTGCTGTGGCTAGGAAAACGTTTGCAGCTAT